GCCACAAATACACAGGCCTCATTTGCCTATGGGTTGGAGGTTGAGCACCCCTGTTTCAGCCCATTAGGAGTATCTGTTTCAGTCTGTATTTTTGGCCCTTATGGTTCCTTACCCAGTGCTGGCAGTGGCTAGTGCCAGTGGCACCAACAGTGACTCAGCCCTTAGCCAGCAAGCCCATCGTGCTAACCCATTCCTACTTCACAACAAAAAAAAATTTCTGTGTAACCTTTGTTGATTTTGGCCATTCTCCTCCTCTGACAGCAGCGGTTCTTCCTATCACTGCGCTGGGTGGAGCTACCAGGGGAGCATTTTCATTTGTATATAATGAACACCAAGCACAAGTAAATGAAGCCTAAGGCTAGGGATAGAAGTTACACATAAACCAGTTTAAGTGATCAGAAGCTGTTTTAAACTCATAACAGAAGTTCAGTGCACATAAACTAGTTTAAAAATGGTCAAAACTGGTTTAAAATAAACTGTACTATGGTTTAAGATAAACTTGTAGTTGAATGTAGTATCAAACTTAACTGATTTGGGTCAAACCGGTTTATGAAACTTCTGTCCCAGACCCCTTCCTGGTTCAAGTTAAATCAGTCACCCAGCATCCCAGCATGCTCTGCAGGGCTGTGCTGGGCTGGGCTGTCTGCTCCAGAGGGCAGGGCTGGCCCCACCCCTCTGCTCTCCAGCCAGAGCAGGGGTGGGGGCATGGCCAGATGCCAGCTAGGCCTGGCCCTCTGAGGTGAAGGGGGCAGAAAGGGGGTTTATTCCCCCTCCCTCCCATGGGTGACTGGTGCCTCCTGAGTCCGGGGGGGCACCAGATCACCAGCAGGGATCCTCCAGTGACTGATCACCAAGGCCGGAACCACCAGCGGCAAAACTGGCAGTGCACTTCCGCCAGTACTTCTGGTTTTGTGGCTGGTGCTTCCAGGGGTGCATGGCCAATCTCAGGGGGTGCACGTGCCAATGCTCCCTGCCTTCCCCCACCAGGGGCCCCATTCAGGGTCTGCCAACCCCGGCTGCAGCCTCTGCTGCTTGACCTCCTGACAGGGGCTACTGTGCCCTGACCAGGCAGACCCTGGCTGGGGTCCCCTGAGGGGAGAAGGAAAGGAGGGGGGAGTAGATCCCTTCTCTGACCCTTTCGCCTCAGAGGGCCATGCCAGGCCAGCATCTGGCCATGCCTGACAGGGATCCTGACAGGGGCAGCAGCCTCATGTGCCTGGGGACCACAATCCTTTTCTCAGTGAGGGGGCTGAGAGGGAGCTGCACTACGGGTGGAAGCAGGGTGGGCAGCACTGCCACAGCCTGCACAGGGTGGGGAGCAGCAGCCGGGGGGCTGGGAGGGGTGGCTATGGGGCTAAGGCAAATTTTGGGGTGGCCATAGCTCCCTAAGTGCCCCCTAGCACTGCCATCGCTTAGCCCCCATAACCACCTCTCCCAGCCCTGCCACCGCTGCCACTTGCCCTGGTTCAGCCCCGCATCCCCAGCCCTGGGCAAGGCAAGTGGATGGCGGGGCTGGGCCAGGGTGTGGGGGCAGGGCCCTTCCCAGCCACCTGCAGCTCAGGCTGGGGCCGCGAGAGCTGTGTGCCCAGTTTGCTCCAGGCTCCCTGTGCCCAGGCCAGGCCAGGCTGTCATGGAGGGCTCTTCCCCCTTCTCCTTCCCTGCTGTGGGGCTGAGGGAGCGGGTTCTGTGCGGCGCTGCCACGGGGCTCAGTACTGGAGGGGAGAGCATTGGGACAGGGGGGACTCCTGGCTCCCCACACCAAAGCAAGGCTGTAAGGGAGTTGGTGCAGCAGGCAGGGCCTTCCCTCTCCTCCTCCCCTGCCGCAGGGCTGGTGGGGGGTCTGGCCATGCCCCCACTCTCATTGCTCGACCCTTTGCTGCCAGCCAGCTCAGAGTCTGCATATGCCCCACCCCGCCCTGAAAAGTCTGCCAAGGGCTGCTTCTCCCCTCCCCCTCTAGGCACACTTGGGCTGGCATCCCTGCAGGCCAGGGTAGGGATTTAAACCTCTCCCCAGTCATACTCAGGCCTACCAGGGCCTGGCCACACACCCCTCTCAGCTCAGCTTCCCTCAATCACTGCGGAAGGGGAGAGAGGGCTCGCTGTAGCACACCCTCCCCCCCCACTTCGGGCCTGAGCCACTGCAGGCATATGCCTGCATTTACTGAATCAAAAGTGAATGTCTATTCACTTGCAGATTGGTTCAATCTATGCAGGTTAGACTAACCTGAAACATTTGAATCAATTCAGGCTCAGACTTTTTGAATGTCTGTACTTAGTCTAAATGAACAGCAAACAGCTTGCAGGTGCTAGTGACAGGGTGCTCACTGTATCTGGCAACCTATATATTGGTTAAGGATTTTTCTGTTATGGATTCCAAGTGAGAAGGGGTTGTATTAGTCTCCCAGCAAGAGACCCTTAGCCCCATACATTCACTGCTGAGATACAGGGTGTTACTGCCCCAGTAAATAAAATTCCTCAAACCAGAGCTGTGCAGGTGGGCCTGGTGGGGGTGAGGAGAAGAGGAGAGGATGTGGATATTGTGGATGTGGGGATTTTGTTTTGGAAACTCTGGGCCTGAACTTTCACGATTTCATTACCAAACTTTTGTTGTCCTTCAGGTTTTGCTTTTTTCCTGAATGGGCTGAAACTATCATTTTCAAACAGAAAACCTGCCGAAAATATACATCAACCCATAAACAGTTCATTTCTCAGCCACATGCGGTGCACCTTTGTTCTTCTCCAAAACAGACTACTTTTCTCTGGGAAACAAAATGTTTTTTCTAATTGGCACATCTACAAAATAGGGTGCTTTGGGGAGCAAAAATGGGCACATTTTCCCAGATTAAAATGAAATCTGAAATGGACACTGCAAGTTTGGGGCAAATCGAAGGAGTTTGAGTAATGGTAACAACATGGAACTCACAGATGTTCTCCCCACTTCTGCCAGTGACTCACCCTGTGATTTTAGTGCATGATTTTGTCCCATATCTTCCCAGCTGCACACATACAGTTGTACGCATAAAAATGCATCCCTGTGCTGCAGTTATCACAATCATACTGCAGTCTCAGTGACTGCACATGCCAATTAGGTGTGCAAATTCACCAGGCCTTTTACATGTATAATTCTGGAAACCCAGGCTTCTCTTTGTTTCTGTGGTGTTATCAAACCCATCCCTCCTCCCCAAGAGTATGAAAAATTATTTGCTTGGGGATGTTTAGAGGTTTTGTTAATCCACGTTAATAACTCCTTTTCTGGTCCAGGGATGAAAGTAGCATTGTAACAGAAACACTTGTTGAAATGGCCTAAGAGCTTGCAGTTCTCTTTCCTGTCAGTCTCCAGAGCAGCTGGCTGTTATGGCTCATTTAAATTAGTTTCAGCTCCCAGGGCCTGCCCTTTCAGCTTCCAGTCGGCTGTTCTTGGATGGAGTTTCATCAGAATCTTTTCTTTATTTCAAAGCATGGATCTTGCACATAAGTTTAAGTGCTTTGGAAACCTCTTCTCTCTCAACCATTCTAAGCATATCCTGGGTAGCTGGGCAGTTTTTATAGCCAGGGAGAGCCCCAATGATTTCCTGGGTCTAGACTTTGTCAAAGAACTTGTTGCATTTGCACAGGTGAACTACCCCAGTTTTGACAGCATCTTGCAGTAAGCCTAGTCCATTGTGCCACGGCTGAGCCCCTATTCCTGTTAACAGGCCACACAGTGCAAAATGCAGAAGTGTGGTATGTGTGCCACAGTGCAAGGGGCCCCCAAGGGACTCAGCAGCAAGTCTGCCTTGGCTGCATTAACATTTCATACGGCATCGCAGATGATGCTACAATCACCTCAACTCAGATAAATGAGTCTCCAGATATAATCAGTCCAGGTGCTGAGACTAGAGTTACAGGAACTTAAATACAAGGGGAAACAAGCAACTGAATAATAAGGAAGGAAACACTGCAGTTACCACAGGAGTCCGAGCCGGTTCTTAGCTTTGCTTTGGCCACCTTACAAGTTCTGCAGCTTTCTGACTGCACTGGAGGGGGCAGCTCATCCCACTCAGGGTGCCCATGCAAACGCTCCCCTAGGCCTGGTGGGAATTGCACGCAGGCATCAAAAGGAAAACTGGCCCTTCATTAGTTCTACTCAACCCCACAGCAGCCAGGAGGCTTTACCCACCCACCGAGAGTATTCCCTGGAGATGTTCCTCGAGCAGTTCCTCACCTGGTGTCTATCAAACAAGAACTGAGGAACCAAACCCACCATTTTAACTTGGTGCTGGTTTCAGGTGGAGAGAACTGAACCCCTGTCCAGCTCTCACTGTCTCCAGCCAAATTCCTTGGAGCTGCTTATTAACATGTGGAAGACTGCTCTGTAATTGTTTATGGGACAAATGCAGGCAAAAGGCAAGTGGGATTTGACAATGTGGCCTAAATATCCCTGTTTACAAAAAGTCTGACAAAACATCAGCCCTTGGCTTTATCTTTCCCATTTGGAAACAGCCACAAAGCAAATATACTCAGGACAGAAGGTGGGGGAGGGGGGCAGAATTTATATTGACTTTAGCAAAAAAACATTCTTTAAAAAAAGAAAATCTCTCTAGATGCCCGGATTCAAAGCTGGACACCCAAGTCTTGCATAAGGGTTTCAAGCCTGATAGTTTGCAGGGTTTGTGTGAGCAAGTCATGCAGTAAACTATTCTCTGTTAATTTTTTAATGCAAAATAAACAGGCCAAGAAATGATTAGCATGCAACCATGTTCAGCTTAATCGGGGGAATCAGGAAGGATGAGAGTGAAGAGGCTAGTTGGAGTTATCAGTTAACCATATAGAGTGTCTCTTCTTCCAAGAGCTAATTCTCCCGAATTGCTTTTTGTGCCCTATAAAATTGTCCTTGTTTTTCTTAATTAAAGTGATGACCTAAAATCGCTAGTATAAGCACAATGGAAGCCCTTGTTTCCCTTTCTTGTTTTCAGACCACAAGGGCTACACACAGGAAATGCAGGTGATAAGGATCCTACCTGGTTTATTACAGATGGTCAGAATCTTCTTCCCCATCCCTGACTTGGAAAGGAAGCTGTTAGATTAAGACAGAAAATGCAAAAATCCACTTTGGGCGTGAGCAGCAGCGGTGGTGAAAGCACTTCGGTGTCATCTCAGCAAATCCAGGGAGTAAATGGAGGAGACTGAGCTAGGGAGAAAGCATAGCTAGGGAGTTGCTTGGAATGGAGTTTGGTCAGTGGTCGGAGATCTATATTCTCAGATAGGCAGGACTTTGTCCACAAACTGGAATTTGAAATTTCAAAGGGAAAAAAAAAGCAGAAGGGACCTTTCTGTGTATGGAGATGACTATGTTGGCGTGATTCCCCCAGGACTTTTGTTCTTTGTCTTGTAACTCAGCAGCTCACGCTTCCCCTTCAGCTGATTTAATGAACGAGATGGAAAGATTAGAGCGAGAGAGAGGCTTGCCAATGCATTCAGTGAACAGTAAACACAGCCTGGCTGGGAAATCAGGACCCTGTTCAGAACTTTTCCAAAGTCTGGAGGGGTTTCATATGCAGAGTTTAGGGCCTGAGCCCATCTTTGCTTTACAACCATCCTCAATAAAGCCACTCCATTCACAGGACAGAGCCTAGAACAGGGGTGGGCAAAAATGTGGCCTGTGGGCTGGATGCAGCCCTCCAAGCCATTGTATCTAGTCTGCAGGTCCCCTAAAAAATTTAGAAAATTAATATTTATCTGACTCTGGCTTCCTGTCATATGGCCCTCGATGGCTTGCCAAAACTCAGTAAGTGGCCCTCCACCTGAAATAATTGCCCGCCCCGGCCTAGAAAATGTAGGCCAAAATGTCTGTGGCCTCAATGATTATGGCTACAAATGGTAATAAGAGGCCAGGTTGCTGCACGTCAGCAGGTGCCAGCTAGGTGCTCACCTGTCCAGCCATTACTATTAGTGCTTGAAATCTGTTGTGGGTACAAAACCAGGAGCTCCAATGAAAAATGGGCCTCTAAGGTAAAGGAAGGCTAGTCACTGCAAACATGTGTTTTTGGTGCCATGCCCTTCATGGTACTCACACCACACCACATGACAACTTCAGACTACAGCCTCATGTGCTGCTTTAGCACGACTTTGCCAAAGATCTTGGGAATATTTAACATGGGTCTTGTACCTTAGGTACAAGCAGGGTAAATGACTTCTGAACAGACAGGTCTGGAGGCCCCACGGTCCTAGTCAGAATGACTTCATGGGCACATATTTATGTCTCCCCTCTTCCAGCTGTAGAACTACCCTTCCCATCACTCAGCATGATGCCCTCTAGTACCCCAGGCCCTAACCCTCGCTTGAGTCCTTTTCTGATTGCCATTCATCATCTCTCTCTCACTTGTAGTTCCTCTTCACTGTCTCCACTCTGACTCTTGCTTTCCCTGCTCTGCTAATCCTACTCTGCATGGAGACTCTGGAACTCAACAGGCAAATGTGGAACATCCATTTTAAGGATTGTTGGACAGATCATTTCTCTCTGATCCCTGAGGAATCACAGCTGATCTTCTGGGATCCTGATTTTCAAAAACGATGGACCATTAAAGTAGTGCTTTTGCAATGTACAGGATTCTGCCATGTCATTCTCTGCCTCTGATCATTTGTATTTGTTCCAAGATACATGCTTTCTGGATAAGGAAAGAGATGACTTCTGTGCTGAGTGAGAGAGGGCTAGAGAGCAGCTTCTACTGGTCTCTTAGCTGTTTAGACAGTGATTACTGTAGCAGAAAAATGCACTGCAATTCAACACGCGAATACCTTAATCAGCTAATGATCTCAAAGTCTTTATGAACATCAATTACTTCATCCTTATCCATTCTCCAGATGATAAATCTAAGCAGAGGCAACGTCACCCGCACAAAGTCACCAGCTATGCCAGTAGCCAAACTCCTAACCTCCACCTTTGCTGATTTGTTTCCTGGGTCCCACTGCTGCTCTTCCAGCTCTGCAGTAATGATGATAAACAGCATTAAGAAAACACCACAATTTGGGTACATGATTTTTCAACTCACTTTTCACATTGCTGTTGGCCAGATGAGGTACTGAAATGCTAATCAGTTGTATATAGAAGGGTGTTTCGCACCATAATGGGGCAGAGGGGATGAGACAACCTATGACAGATTCTCTGATAGCATAGCTTGCTGTATTTTCCCTTCCACAAAGATATGTGCCAGCCAAGATGTGACTGCAGATTGTATTAGCATACCCAAGCTAGCTTTGAACTAGCTTGCTTGGCAAGTGGGAGTGTTGCTGTGGCAGCCTGGAGCTCAGCAGTGGCTAAGCACCTGAGTTTTTATCCATCTTTTTGGGTGCATTTTATAGCACCTTCTCAGCCCTGCGTTGCTAGCTGCACCTGAGCTCAGGTATGGCTACCTCAGCTCAGGTATGGCTACCTCAGCTGTAGTAATCCTTTCATTGTTGTGTAGACATAATTGTGAAGACACGAAGCTAGTACTAAGGTGCCTTTCTTTCCAGATCTTCTCCCTTGCCTTTTAGAGGTGTTTTATTTTTTTTAAACAGAAGTAGTGACCTAAGATTGCTAGTATAAGCTTTTTTCAAGCTTTTGGGCTCATGCACACTGTGAATACAACCTGGGTAAAAACTTGATTGAAGTCTGCAGCATGGATAAGAACCACCTAAGTTCTGATTTTGCCCTATTCACATTGCAAGTTTGAACAAGGTCAGGAGGCAATTGCAGAATAACTGAGTCCCTGGTTCAGCTGGGTCTGTGTAGGCAGTGCAGGCAGAACCATTATGTGTCCATAGGTGTGTCTCCCCCTCTTCCACTATCAGTAGCTGTCAAGAGTTCTGGCTGATGATATACTTCCCAGTGCGTGTTTATTAAATAGCCTGTATTCTGTTCCTCATTTAAGGAGGTATGTATCTTATTCCCTGGGAATCCCTTTACGTTTGGTCTGTATATGAGGCAGAATTAGTCTCATCATATTTATGTGAGGAAGGACATGGGAGAATTTACTGCTCATCTGATAAAATCAAATTATTGTTCCAAGCGTACATTGGTTCCTGGCGTTCTAATATTTTCCTGTTACAGCTGGCTCCTGTAATGTGAAGTGTTGGGGTGAAGTGATGTAGTGGCAGGGTTGGGGAGTGAGACTGGTGAGGTGGTTGGATGGGGTTTCCCGAAGCAACTGGATTTAGTGAAAGGCCCTAGGCAGGGAGCTGCCATGCACCACGACAGAACGTGAAAGCACCCGCTCCCCAGACTCCATGGCCAAAACCCATCCGTGGCTTATGTCTACGACTTGCTAATCTTGCGCCAAATTCCCCTCTCAGCAGCATTAGTGTCACTAGGCCAAATCTTAAACCCCCTGAAGTCAGTAAGAATACTTCCTTTGGTTTCAGAGGGCATTGGATCAGCTCAAGTGTGGGGCAACTCTCCTAACATCAGTGGATTGACTCCGGCTTTTTAGCAAAGAGCTATTCAGAATGTGTCCCTCTGGCTGGTGCAGAAAGGGAAGCATCTTGAAGTGAGCCAAGATGATCTAAAATCAAGAATAGCTGTTGCCTCTCAACCATTCTCTCCCTTCAGAAATGTTTTAATTTATGCTGCCTCGGGCCCCTCATTCACCAGCATTGGTCAGTGTGCCTAGCCCAGGATTTGTCACTCAAATATGTTACGTTATAGGGACCACTTTACCTTGGTTCTTCATTGGAGCCTCTTCTAAATTTCTGGTAGATTTATTAGCCTCCCAGTGAGAGAAGAATCCTCTCATACTAGAGTTGGGGGTGAAGCAACAAGTGTCTTCACTAGCAAATAGGATAGTTGGAACTGCTTCATTGTTTTTTGGTGTGGAAATTAAGCTTTTCATTCCCATATTGTCTGGCAAGATAATCTCCGGGGCAAAGGAGGAGAATAGTCTTTGTTCTCCTTTCCCCATTCAGCCCTTGACCTCCCTGCTGAAACAGGATTTTTCATGGGGACACTTATGCACCAGGCACTGGACTGAGGACACCACGTAGGGGAACTGCAGTCACATCAACCTAGAGGTAAAAGGCCTTGTGTCCCATTGATATTCCTCACATCCTGAGCCACCTACTTCTCCTCAAACTTCCCGACTCCCCTTCCACACATATCTCTTCATTTTCTGTTCCTAGTATCCTTAATCCCCCCTGACCTAGAGCTTCCAGACCTCATTGGAGTGAGCAGGTATTTCAGCCTTATTTAGAGAGCAGCCTATCTGAGCAAAGGCTTGTTTTGCTGAACTGAGCGAAATGGTCCAGGTTTTTATGATATTTTACTAGACATTATGGCAAATCCCACACATATTTGACTTTGTGTCTGTAGCGTTTATCTAATCAAAGGGATCATTCTGGCCAAACCAGATTTGGAACAGAGGTCTCAAGAATGAGGCCATTAAGGGGCTGTACTCCCCTCCTCCCTCTCACGCACATTGTTTCAAACAAATGTATTCTCAGCTCAGAATCCTCCTTGCCGGAGGGAAAGAACAACCAAACATCTGGGTTGAAAGGGGTTCCTTCCTGTCATTAGGGATCATGGGTCAGGTCTTGCTGCCACACTAGTCCCAAAAAAGAAATGCGGGGCTTTTCTGTATCTCCAGGAACAAAGTTGAAGCAGCATAGCCAACAGAATGCACAGACCCAACCTCCTAGCAGATAGGCAGCATATGCATCTTTTATATATGCTGTAATCTTCTTGCTTTGCTTTGTGAAACATTCACTATCCTGTAGACATACTGTTGATCTTCTGTTAATACACCAAATGCCACAGCCCCAATGGCATATGCTTTTTGGGGGTCTGTGATTCTAGAATTTCAGTGCTGAGCTCTGAGAGCAGGGATCCTTAAACCTGTAATGGCCTTTTGATTTGGCAAGGCCCAGTCTGCTCTGCTCTGCTCTGCTCTGCTCTGCTTGCTTGTGAAGCATAGTTAAAACTAATTTGAGCCTATTAACTATGCAGTGTCAACTAAATTGGCCTGCATTGATTGTGAAATAAATTGGGATGTGTTCATTACAGAAGAAGCTGATACTAATCCTTAATTACTAGCTGTTCTGTGCAATTCAGCTGATGCTGTTAAGTGATAAAGTAATTTCCGCTTGTTGATCTTGCACTGCTATGCAATGGAAATTATAGCGAATCATCCAAAGCCATCCTGGTCTAAACCACGGCAGTGCACTATTTTCTGTCATTGGTAAAATATGTTCTTACTGGGCACGACTACATGTTCATTAATGTGCCTTAGATACTGCACATTTAGTTAGTATTTGTTTAATAAAGTACTAACTGAATGCACAGTAATTACAGTTACCGCACAGTAGCACCAGCATATGGTTAATTTGTGACACTTACTGCGCATTAGCCTAATAACACTGCACAGTAGGTTATTAGCGCTGTTTTTGACCACCACACTACTGCACAGATTTGTTAGGCTAATGCACAATAAGCATCTTGTGTAGACGCGCCCACTGTCCTATATTACCTGATCCTAAGTCCATCAAAGTCAACGGAAGGACCCCCATGATTTTCAGTGGGTTTTGGATTAGAATTTAATTCCAGAGCAGGGGTGTCAAACTTACCCTGGGTCCCAGGGTGGATCTAGATCATGGGGGCTCCTCCCAGACTCCACAGTGGCAGCAGCAGCTACAGCAGGTCTGGGGCCAGGTGGTGACATGAGTCCTGTGGGCACAGGGTGAGCAAGGGCTACATCTACACAGCCCTAACTCACCCCCCTGCTGCATCCAGGAACCCCTAATTCTGTGGCAGGCCATGCCCCACTATTTCCAGCAGACCAGATAAAATAGCTCCATGGGTTGGATCCAGCCTGTGGGCCATATGGTTGACACCTGGTTAACACCCCTGCTCTACAGAATGTCTTGGGTGGTTCAGTTTGTAGGCAAGACAGTTTGTACAATAGCACTGTGTTGCATTACAACATGCCTGGAGTTTTCTTTTCCCAAAATCAGAACTTGAGAGTCAGGTTTCTCAGACTGACCCACAGAAATCAAATCCAGTGGGTATTGAGCTTGTTTTCAGGGTAAGATTTTCACAAAGTTGAGGCCCGCAAGTAATGGCAGTGTAATCATGTACCTGATCCACCATCCACCGGGCAGCCTGGGCAGACACACTTGTCCTCACATTCGCCTTATGCATTTGCATGCCTGGCTCTTTCACAAGCCTTCCCCTGAAGGTTGCTGGTGCACACTGTAGAGTGGGAGGTGTTTATAGCAAGCTCAGGCCCTGTAAAACTCACTGTATAGGGAAGTAAAATGAAAAATTCATATTGTTACCAGACACGACAAGGTGTAAACGGCAAGTCTGATTATATGGACCTCTGAAAAGAGGGAGAGAGAGGAAAGGGTGTGGGGAAAGATAGAAGACAAGAATCAGAGGCCAATGGTGGGGGGAGGGAAAGGGTATTGGGGAAAGGGGGAAATTAGGGAACTGGGGAGCAGACAGGGTTTTTCCAAGGTTTCACACTGGGTACAATTAAGACCAATGAAAACGCCTAAGTATCAAGGTCAATAGCTCAGGAAATATACTCCACTCACTGAGAATGTGCTTCTCCCTAACCGCTGTCATTGTGGCGTGTGCCCAGGAGCTGGAATCAGCAAAAGAGATGCAATAATAAACAAACAGGCAATGACAATCAAGTCTGCCCCACCAAAAAAAAAAAATCCCAGCTTCCAGCATTCAGCACTGGGTGAGATGATTAAAGATTAACCCCCCTGCCTCCTGCCTCCACCCCTCTGGGGAGTATAGGCCTTGAAGCTCAGCAAATCCCTCCAGAGAAATATTTGAAATAAAAGACAACAGATAGGGGCGGCAGCGAAGGCAGCAAGAGGCTGAGGGGCCAATAACCTCCAACGAGGGGATCGCTGCAATCTGGTCCGTGTTTGCTGATGATAATGCGTCTTTCCAAAGCCCTGATAGACATGGAGATGGCAGATTATAGCGCAGCGTTAGACCCAGCTTACACCACTCTGGAGTTTGAGAACATGCAGGTGCTGGCTATGGGCAATGGTAAGTCTGCTTTGGGGTTTGCTTTCCTCTGTTGAAGTTAGTTGGGTTAGCTAGAGCTTTCTGGAGATCCAGTCTATAGGCAATAGGCTTTTCATTGGGATTTACTCACCTACAGAGCATGGGGAGTTGAAGGGGCCAGGAGAGAAGGACCAGTGTATGTAAGTGGCTTTTTCTCCTTCTCTTGAGTACTGCTGTCTGATTAATGCTCCTCTGGGCACTGACTGAACCTGCTCAGCACAGGTACCTCGTTGACGGGCACAGCATAATAACCCTAGAGAGAACAGAATTTCCCTGCTAATCCTTTGGCTGCAGCAAAGGAACAAGGACCCAGAGCTGAGAGCAAATGGGTTTCACGGGTCTCAAAACCCAAACAGGAAGGAAAGTGCAGAGATCAGCTGTTTCTTTACTTGTGAAGGCTTCTAAGTGGGCTGCTTTCCCTGGCTTCACAGATGTATGGCAATAGACAGACTCTCCCCTAATTGTGAAGTAGAACAGGCGTCCGGAAGAGTTTCAGTGCATTGTGCCAGTCAGACGCTCGGACTGCAGTTGGATTTTTAGTGATAACCCACACGTAGGATGAAGGTGTGCCGTGCATGGTGGGGACAGGTATCTTATTAAAAAAGGCTTCAATTTGCATATTTCCAGTGGCGGCCCCCAGACCAGGTACAGGTAGCCCTTCTCTTTACAGCCCAGAGCTAGACTGAACCATTTACATGGCATAAACTGGTGTGAGTTTAAATGTATGTGAGGCAGGAAAGGAAGGCTCTGCCCTTTTAACTGGGACTAGTCTCAGTTTATCTTCCCACTGGCATACACGGACGCAGTCCTCTCCCTCTAGGAGATCACATACGTTTTATTAGGATACATAGCATTATCCCGTGGGTTTGAGTCTGGAGTCTGCAAGGATTCCTCTCAGATTCCTCTCCCAGTTACCCCAAATCCTCTCTAAATATTGGGTTAATCACTCAGCTAAATATGCTGCAGAAAAAAAACCGTCTGCTCTCTGGGATCCCAGCTTTGTGCTTTCTCTCTGGTTAGCTCTCTCTTCAGGCTGCTCCAAAGCTGCATAAGAAATCCCGTTTTGATGTTTGATTAGGGAATCTTGTCACCAGCATATACTGACTAGGTTGCAAGACAGAACCTTTTTATTGCAAACCAATGACACAGGGTTGCCCAAGATAGTTTCATAGTTTCATAGTTTCTAGGGTCGGAAGGGACCTGAGCAGATCATCTAGTCCGACCCCCTGCCATGGCAGGAAGAGCACTGGGGTCAAATGACCCCAGTAAGGTGGTCATCCAACCTCCTCTTAAAAACCCCCAGGGTAGGAGCCTGCACCACCTCCCTTGGAAGCTGGTTCAAGACCCTAGCCGCCCTGACCGTGAAGTAGCGCCTCCTGATATCCAACATAAACCTTCCCTCCGCCAGCTTGTGACCATTGTTCCTGGTCACTCCTTGCAGCGCT